TTAATTATTTATTAATTAAATAATAACCCATATGTAGGAACCTAGGGAAAAATATTGAGGGACCCAACGGGAATCGAACTCGGGACCTTCGGCTTAGCAAGCCGACGCTTTGCGCGCTACGCCAACCACTCCCTCTCTATTGTCCCTTCGAGGTTTCCTATTTGGGTATGGAGGCCCCGATCCTACACCGGTTTAAACGGCGAACCCATGTGCGTGTAATTCCTGAATCGATGAAACGCGTGACAAGTTCACGCTGGTGATTAGAAGTATTAGGACACCTGGTGTGTTTGAATAGAAGGTGTTGTATGATTTGACGCTAGAATAATCATGGGTATGGAGGCCCCGATCCTACACCGGTTTAAACGGCGAACCCACGTGCGTGTAATTCCTGAATCGATGAAACGCATGACAAGTTCACGCTGGTGATTAAAAGTATTAGGACACCTGGTGTGTTTGAATAGAAGGTGTTGTATGATTTGACGCTAGAATAATCAGAGTTGAATGTGGTAAATTTTGACACTTTTGGTATATTTAGATAAGATTATATAAAAAAGTATAGTCTGATTACTTCTTTATTTCGACAAAAGGCACTGTGAGCGTACTTGAACAAAAGCAACTTAACCCTTTGCAATCGAATGGCGACTGAGAAACGACACTTAATAATTGTCACGATAATTAATGGGGACAGAGACCAGATCTACGGGCCACCATAAATTTGTTCACTATAGCGAAATAGAAAATACGTTGAATATTGAAATAAAATAGTACAGTTTATTTCTAAGTTAATTTTGAAAAATTTCAAACATCCGATTTGCAACCTTTCCTGCAGCAAAAACACTTCCGAGTGCAAAGGGTTAATCATTTGTGTAATTTATGCTGAGAAATTTGAAATCAGCGATTTTCACGGGTTTGCTAGTTCTCTAGGGTTAAATGACACTTCTTGGCCAGAGCATATGAGACACTGAGAAGCCAAAGTGAATGACTCCATGAAATAGATTTGATTAAATTTCTTTTATTTTTTAAAAATTAGGGACCACGTGCTTTGACACTAAAATTGGAAGAATACCAAAAATTCCAGTTAACGAAAATAGAAACTAGATTTATGGATTTTTAAAATTTGCAATAGTTTTCGCGTAACGACAATGCCCCGAATTTTCTAAAATTTATAGCTACAACTTTTTTATAAACAAGTTCAACGTCCCACAAAGAACACAATTTCATGTGACTTCATTAGTGACACGATTATCTTAACGACGGCATTTTAAATAAATAGAAATAGATGCTTGAAAGCTTCATCGTATGCACCCGTACCGAGAGACTCCAGGCTGAATAATTCCTTCAAGATTTTAATAATTTATTAATTACTATTTAAGTTTGCTTCGGGTTCAGCCAATGTCTTAATACTTGCGAACGAGAGTGTACATAGCCTCGGCAAACGGAGGATTTCCAAAGTATATTTCGAAGTCGTACCAGAAGATTTCAGACTGAATACCTTTCTTAGGATCGCAATAATTCTTCGACTATTTAAATTTGCTTCACATTCGCCAAGTGTCCTAACGATTACAAGCAGCATTTCCCATTTTCAATTTTCATATTAGAAATATGAATGTTCTACTTATTCTTCGACTCAGAAAAAACGTCTTCACTTTTTGAAATGCTCCATCTAACTGTCTCTGGACGACCAAAAAGGAAAAACTGAGGTCCGCTCACACCTTCGAACTGTTTGTCCTATTGTATCACAGTGTGCAGTGCTTGACTCAACACCAAACACATCTGGTGGAAGTCTAAAAAAACGCCGAGACATTTTTGTCCTCGCTTGATTATTTCTACAGGGTGTTCTTAGAAACAATCCAACATTTCACTTCATAATTACTTCTATTTGCCAAAAAAGAAAAAAAATACTCCAAAGGAAGTTACAAGAGTTCTCCGCACCGAAGAAAGTCTCTCAATCCGTGTTATCGATTCGAGGCATTCTCGTTCCACGGATCCGTTCCTGTAAGGCAGTCTGCGAGCGACTTAATTGTCTCCGCGCTGGAAGCTCGCTAAGGACACGGGTGGTAAAGGCTCAGGCAAAAAGAAAGAAAGAAAAGAAAAGAAGTTGTTAAGTGGCGCGGCGAGGGTGTAAGGCAAAATGGACGGCTCGCCGCGATACCTCGGGATTAAATCCCGAGGGCTTTGTGTCGACCATAACTACAAG